TATATATATATATATATATAGATAACTAGGAGGGGGGAGGCCCCTCTTCTTGGGCGAAAACCCTAGCCCCTCATCATAGATTGGCCATCCACTGCTCCCCTCTTGGTTGAACTCACTACAGCATAAGATATTATTAGCGTCAGAATTTTCCGACGCCAATATTTGCATCAGATTTGCGGTTGTTAAGCGATGGATAATAAGTTTTGATCTTTGCCTCATATTTCACGTCCAAATATTTGATGAAAAAAGTATCCTGAAAATGACGAAACTTCAACAGGGGTAGCGACAGATTTTGACTTAAATTTGCATCAAATAAAGCGATGCAAAAACTTTACTTATTAGCGTCAAACTTTTCCGGCATAAATTAGATGGAAATCTGATGTAAATAGCCTTAATTACGCATCCCGCCCACCAAAATTTTAATTCTTCGCACTCCGTCTCTCGGTCTCTCCTTCTTCCCAAAACCGTTTGAAGCTCCCTCTCCCCTTTCCCTCTCCCTCTCCCTCTCCCTTTATTTCTCTCAAAATCATCGCCTTCTCAAACAAATCTTCACGATACAGTCACCCTTGGAGCTATCTGGGGAGGGATTGATCGGATCGTGCTTACAGAGACCACCGAAACTCCCCTCAACCTTCAGCTCCACTCCTACCAGAAAGCATTGAAGAAGGTAAGCCTATGCGTGCCATTATTTCCATTCATATGTGGTATGCATGTAAAAATTGTTGTTTAAGTGTCAGGTGTATGAAAAGCATAGGTAATGTTGGTATGTATGTAAGAAAATGAAATTTTAGTGTTAGGTAAGTATATACATAAGGGTTCAGTGGTATGTATGTAAAAATTAAATTTTAGGTGTTAGGTGTGTATGTAAATAAGAATTTAGGGATATGTATAAAATGCATATATATATATGTATATATATATATATATGTATTATATATATATATATATACATATATATATATAGGTGATGTTGTATGCATGTAAAAATTAAAATTTTGGTGTTATGTATGTAGATAAGAGTTCAATGGTATGTAAGTAAAAATTGAAGGTTAGGGTCCGTGTTTTAGCATTAGGCTTTATTTAAATTATTGTGGACTACATTTTAAATATTTTTAGCATATTCCCATATTTCCATCGAGAGCTTCATCCATTCAAAGGATTTGAAACAACAAGGGTACACATAGCTTGGTGCTTATGATACCCTACATAGCGTCAAGGTGCTAGGCCTAGATTGTGTGCTCTAGTTAGCTTTTATATATATTTAAGATTGAGGGGGGTATGTAACATAATATGAGAATTACTTTTAGTGCAGCTTAGAGAGCCTAGAGTGGAAAAATTATGGAGAGAGCTCTTCTCCCTTCTCCTCTTCTTCGTTCTCTCATTTTAGCTTAAGTGCAGAAAAGCTTAAGGAGGAGTTACCAGCTCATAAATTTTCTTGTTCATGCATGGATGACTTAGAGTTATGGATGTTGTCTTCAACCCCATGATGGTGAGTTCTTCTTTATACTTTAATTCATTTAAATCCCTTAAGTTGATGTTAGATTTTGTTGGTAGGCTAGTGTTATAGAAATATGATAGGTTAGGAAGCTCACTATATTTTTCTCATCATTTTCTTTATATGATTGCAATCCT